AGATTGAGTCACTTTTTGGCACTCATTAAAGCATTTGGCTAACAAACTCTGTTTGCTTTCCCCTTCAGAAACACCAGTATCAGCAAGCAGTTCCCCCCGTAACACAGTGGAGTATGTATGTATGTAGTACAGCGAGGAGCAGGAGAGCACACCTTGCAGGGTCATTCATCAGGCCACTGTTAACTGAGGTGACATCCCCCAGAGTCAAGTTAGTATCTCGCAAGAGAAAAGGCAGAGCTCGCTAAGATACACTGAAACCTACCGAGAAGCAAAATAAGGGCTGCAAGAATCTAGGCCTAATTTGGGCATCGACTACAATTTAATTTGGCTGGAGCCTGGTGCAAAATAACATTCGCGGTTTTACAGAAGCCGGAGCTAGTGCTTTATGTTTTTATTGCCTTCTCTCTCCGTAGCTTTGGCTCTTGTTTCTAGGTCAAACTGTCATTTCGTGCAAACAATTCAAGCGTGCCTCCGAAGGCCTCTTGGAGCACAGCGCCGCCGTCACCCTGCTCCTCAGGCAGGACCTACCCTTCCCCGCTTCCCGCCGCAACACGAAGCACAGCTTGTGCTTACCTTGCAGCACCGGAGGACGAGGAGAACATCACTCACCTTATTTCTGGCAGAAGCATGCACAAAATAGTTTTTGTGCTGTGTAACAGCTTTATGCATGTGTAAACAACAGCCATATCAAGTTATTGTTCCATACATATTCAATATTACAAGCCTCCCCCCAATGTTAAAAAAAAAACAAACCCTGAAGAATCTTTTAAAAAGTCCCATTAGGATACAGAAGTCTTAACTTCTTAGCTTTGCCAAAAAAACCCCCCACAAAACCCTAACATCATGAAATAATTTGAATCCAAAAACTTAAGCTCTGGAGGGGGGCTTTGTGGTGTGACTGTAATGAAGTTACAAAAGCCAGCAAAATTGCGGGTTACAGTTTTATCAGCCCCTTTCAGTGCCTCCATTCGTACACCAGAGAGATTAGCAGACACAGTCACCTCTTGAGTATTTTTTGGTAATCCCCCGAGCTTCATTCTCCACTCTCCTTCACAGTATTTGTGAAATGAATTGCTTTTTCCTACATCTACTGAAGACCCTTCTTCAGTGCTACAGTAAGAAGAGCAAACTTCTTGCCTGCTGCCGTCTCCTCTTCCTCTCTGCCCCTTTCTTTTTAGGGCTATTGCTTCCAATTATAGTATTTGAGAATCTACCAGTGATCAAGACACAGATTCAGTTTTGAGGACTTAATCTAGCAGAATGAGGGGAAAAAGAAGTTAATTGCTTTTTATATTTAAATTCAGTGATGCTTCTTTGAAAATAAGCATTCCCTATCTCCTTTCAAATTGATCTTGCTTGCTGTGGTATGCTAGAGATTAGAGCTTGAAAAGATCCTTTTTAGAAACTAATGACACTGTTAGAAAAACCCCTGTTACTGAATTGGCTGCCCATATTTTGCACAATTCAAATGACTACTATGAATAGTCCAGTGAGTACCTATCCCAGTATCAAACTTCAGTACAGTTTTGACAGCAACAGTAATTATTTTAGTATTTGGCAGCTTTTCGGCAATCCAGAGAGAACCAGTAATTTCACCAGAGTGTCATAGATCAGTGCCAAAATAAAAAGCAAACCAGTCATAGATAGCAGCAGACTTAAGACCGTAGCTGTAACCTTTAATTACTACATCACCCGGAACAGTTATTTCTCCAGAAATAGTTTGAAGTATATGCACATACTTGTAACGGATTCACGTAGTATGTGCCAGCTATATTTTGTCAGCATTACTGATTCCCATACTGGAGGAAGAACTCGTAACGCCAACCTTATTCTCACACCTATGCTTTAAGAACTCAATTTCAGTCAGTCCGAATTTAGTTGTGAAAATAGGCCCAGTCTTTGTGAACTACTTTGACAGCTCTATGAAAGGCCAAGATTAACGATCGAATATAAATTTTGAATGATGAACAGTAAATGAGACTGGCACCTGCACATTTAATAGATAAGAATAAACTGCTTCCTTGCAGCCGACAAGTTCACTGAAGAAAAAGATAGGATGCAATGATACAATTAAAACAGTTTGCAGATACTAAAGGTATTTTAACCAGGAGAGTAGTTTCTCTTCTGTACCTCATTTCCTTATGACAGTTTTGAAAATAAATCTGAACAAAATGGCCTGAGGAGGACAATCTGAAGCTGATGCTCCTCAAATTCTATCAAATAAGAGCGTAGGCTAGTGAGGGGTATTTCACCCGCATTTTAACACCAAGCTTAAGTCCATCTGCACAGATTCTGTGTTATTTCTTCTCATTACAGATAACAGCAGCTATTTCTCTTTCTCGCTCTGGTTGTAGGAGTAACACAGAGAAGAACAAGTTACTGTGGAGGGGAAAGACTTTTTTTATTCAAAGTTCACATCTCTAAGCAGTATTGTAACGTAGTCTGGGAAGCAGGCGGTTATTTTCCCTGGAAGTTTTCCCAATCTGTATTTACAACGCACAAAGCACTTCCTTATTTAAAGTTGCTTAAAACACAACCTACTGCTTCCCAGAATATTAGACCAAAGGCCACAGTAACTATTCTGCAACCGGTACACTGAGCCTTACTGCTTTTGCTTCCCCTTCTTCCTTGTAATTTTTTTTTTTTTTTTGAGAAAGGTGTATTGCCACATCCATTTTCCTTTTTGAATCAGGTCTTTAACAACTGTTTTTAAAAATACAAAAATCACACTGAGAAAAGGCTTCACATTCAGGATTCTTTCTCTAAATTATCAGATTGATCAAGATTTTCAAATTCAGAGGGAGGGAAATGAAAACTTTCTAACGGTTCAGTACATTACGTTTACCTGGCTCACACTAATCGGAGACTGTTTTAGCTGGATTAAGGTCACAAAATATATTTCAAAATTGCCATTTACAAATATGAACATACAACTCCAGTGCACACAGCGTATCTGGTATACTGTTTAAGTTTCTCCATAGGAATGAGCGTACATCCTTTCATGTACCACATGACTGAAATCCGTGACTGAAAGTAATAACAGGCCTAACATACAAACCCATTAGAAGAGTATGTCAGTTTTCAGAAGTTAACTTTACTCTTTCACAGTTCTTCCAACAGTTTTTATACTGACTGTTGATTTACTGTAACGCTATTCACCACCATACCTAGAGACATTAAAGTTACTTCAGCTGAAGAGAGTCTTTGAAAGCCCTCGTCATACTGCACTGAGATCTTACAAGATGGAATGCATTTTCTAACTTTTTAATAACAAAAATATTTAAGTGATTTGCCAAAACAATTTACAACTGGCAAAAACGTCAGGCACACTGATACATGCGTTACGTAGCATGCATTTTCACACCAGCAGAACATAGCTTTGGGGAAAAACAACTCTAAAACCTAGATTACTCAGGTATACTTTTATGGTCACAACGCTGAGAGAGATAACGAGCCATCATTTTACGTATGAAGTAAATCAAACATTTGTCATCTTTCAAATATTTTATTTTAGTACTTTTAAATATGTTTTAATACAACAAAGATATAAAACAATATATTAATTCAATCTGAGTTTAGAATCAAAACAGTATTTACTTATTTACAGTACTCACTTTAAACTTCACTGGCACACCTTCTAGCCATTAGGTAATACTATTTTCTCTGTCGGAACAAAACTGAAGCAACTGTTCAGTGTGAAAAGTCATGTTTCTGCTTATGTTAAGTACCATGTACGATGCAACTTGTGGTTTCTCGCATTTGACAAATTTCTCCTATTTGACAAAACTGAACTGAAAGAGCAAAACTAAGTTACAGTTAGTCTGTCTAACTACGCAGTCACTGGGCTAACAGGTCAGGTTATCGTGCTCCACATTTATCATCTTAAGTTCTTACATACCTGTTACAAACTGGCTTTAAAAATGTGCATGTCACTGAATTATGTACATAATACTCACTGCAAATTTCTTAAGTATGCAGGATACTGCTATATAGAAAGTTCAGTGTTCACAATACTGTAGTGTTTATGGGGTTGGAGGGGTTTTTGAGTGTTTTTCTTCACATCATGAACAAGACATCAGTAGGTTCACTCCAAAGGACTTTTTTTTCCCCCCCAGCAATACTGTTTCAATTAGAATGGTGACAATGTCAAAGCCACAGCAGAAACAGTAAACTGTGTGAATCATCAGTGGTCTACCAATTAGCCCTTGATTGATAAAGTCTACGTGTGCAAAACAATTCAGAAGGTAAGCTGGCTCACTGCTAGGACTTCTGCCAAATATATTTCCATCTTGACAAGACTATCATGGTTTTTGTAGTCTGTCTTGGTTTCGGCAGGGATAGAGTTTACAGGTCAAGTTTCTACTAAAGTATCCTGTTAAAAAAAACCCAGAAAAATCCATATTGTCTGTAGATTACTGCAAATTCTCCCCAACTCTTCAGTAGAAACTACATGGACAGGATGAAAACTATCATAGTGATTTTAGGTTACTTTTGTTATACTCCAGGTCCACAAAATGTACTTTTTTTTTTTCCTAAAACATCTGCTATTTCTTCAAATGCACATTTAATGATTAAGACTCAGCTCCACAATAGTTTTGGTGCTTGAAAACCTAGTGGACTTTTGTACACCAAAAAACTAGCTAAATAGTAATAAACAAGTGCAGCACTAAAGTATGCAAGCACCGCTTAGAAAAAACAAGGAGGTACTAACTGCTGCAAAAGACTTGTACTGATGTCTGAGTTCAGCCCTTCCCTCTTTCCCTTTGATGCTTTTTGGCACTACATGATACAGCCATACAGAAAAGATTACAGGAACCTGTGCTTTTGTCCTCACTGAAGGGTTTTAATACTTCTAAATAACCTTATTTAACATGCTTGCATAAAAAAAGAATTTTTTTTTTTTCCCAAATCATTTAACTGACTCTTGCTTCTTAAAGCAGCTAACTATCAAGGTTTTACTTTGGTGCTTTTTTTTTTTTTAATACAGATTTATTCTCTCAGAACCCAGTTAAGTAGTAATTTTTTTTAAATTCTACTGGAACGTTTTCTTCTATAGTAGATGTGGGGGAAGAAATCAGGGAAAACTAAAAAGAAAGTGACATTACCTATTCCCATTACTGTAGCAGTATACCATGCACAGCACGCACTTGGCCTTATCCAAGAAAACGCTTAAACTAAAGTGGTAACCCTCACTGAAGTCAGAGTATTTAGTGATTTGCTGAAAGTTAAGCATATCATTTGCTTCATCACAAGCAGCATACTTACAGGATCTAATTCTTGCTAGTCGTGGACATTTAAATACTTCATGCCTATCTACATTTCTGTACCAACGCTCTGTGTAAGCGTTATCGTGTTTGCCAGAGGACACGAAGATACTTAACATATATGGAAGCTTTCTATATCATTATTCAAGAACAGCTGGAGGAACCATGCTTAAAGATCCTTCCATAAGCTTTTGTCAGTGTAATCAGAATTTGCTAAAAAACCGCATCTATGTAAGTCTAATTTCCGTATGCCGGTGTAATGTCATAAAACCACTAGTTTAAGGGATCTTCCAGAAAGGAAAAACTAAAGGCAAAAAGTTTAGGAAAGCTATTCTATGAAGCTGTGTTATAAGGTACAATGGAAAAAAAAAAAAAAAAAAAAGAAGAGGGGGGAGTGCCTATGTGTCTATCACTTTCAGATAGGTGCATACGTATCCTCACACTGATAACAATAAGGAAGAGCTCAAGACTATCGTCAAGTCTCAAATATTACTAGATTTGCTAAGCTACCAAAAAAATGTGGCCCTCCCCTTCTTTTGTATATCCAGTTACTGGGTTATACTTTTCTACTTGATTAGTTTGTGCACTTTGTAGTACTAGACTAATGTCGTTAGACACTTGCACTTGCTGATGTAACGCAGTAATTAGTTCATTACTCTGAATTCAGCTTATGTGTGTGCTCCCACAGAAGGTGACTGCACAAAACAGGCGCAGCAAGTTCAAGGACAGCAAAAAGACTGGTGTGTGAACACGAGGGAGAAGGACAACCCTGAACGTATTTAGCATTAAATCCAAGGCCCAACAATGCTCTGCTGCCTTTACTTAGAAGTGCTTGTCAGCAGCAGAGAAGCAGCAAAATGCTTTTAAAACACTAACTCTTTCAAAAGGAGGTACAGAATTTTAAGGCTGTTACTTGCAACCTGTTTCCATCTAATGAACAATAAAGCTTACATTACCAACTTTACAGACTGACCTGTGCCCTTTTGCGTGTGAAATCTGATTTTTCTGTCTTCTATCAATTTCAAACCTTCCTCTTGCGTGTTTATAGACAAACAAAATTAACGTCCAAAATAGAAGACGACAATTATCCTGACAATGTTTTAACCCACTCAGTGCTCACAAAACCAACCTCTGTGTATTACTTATCTTGGACTCAGCTATTTAGCATCAAGGGAAACAGCACAAAAGAACAAGTTTCCTTTAAAAAACATTGATAGGCAATGCTGATTTAAAACATGGATTTACTTAACAGAATTTGAAAAATTAAATTAGAACAAAGAGAGAAGCCTTATGTTTCAAAGTATATGAACTTCATTTTTTAAAAAAAATAGTATTGAAATGATAGCTTTACTTTATGTAAACATTGTTACACTGGGCTGTACTTAAATTCTCCTGCATGTCTAAGTTGCAAAATAATTTTTCAGTTTAGACACAGCTGCGCCAGTTAGCACTGACATGGTTCTCTTCAGAATCAACACCTTTGCAGTTTAATTGCATCCTTCTCTACACGTTATAACTCGAGTACAATCCCGCACATCCTGAGAACAGACGTTTCCTAGCGTTTAAAAAATAGCATTCATAACCATGTCTGTATTGCAAATACAAATTAACAAATAGAGCTCTTTGATTATAAAGTCTCAAGAGCAATGTTCAAATTGCCTTCCTGAAATCAGAAAGGTAAGAACAGCAAATGAAAAGTCTTTAAATCTTTCAGAATATTTTCTCCTTTTTTTTCTTAAGTGTAAGCACACTCCCCCAGTGTGGATGGCAAGAGCCATTAGGCTATGGGAGACTGAACAATATAGTATTATACCTGCAATTTTGCTAGAAATTTGGAACATTACAAATATAAAAGTCTGCAGAATAGTACAATGTATGTGTGCTCAATACAGCTGGCAGAGATACTCTAAGATGCACAGTTCCTCTGTGGAATAGGAGCTAAATTAAATTACAAAAGTAATATACTACAAAGAGCGGAAAATACTCAAGTTAGTACAATCCAGGTATATAAAAGGAACACAATACAGCAAGGAGTAGTCCACAGTAGTTTACAAGCCTCCGAATACAAAACTGTCTTGCAAAATTTCAAAGGGATTCTTTTCCATGCAAACCTAAGTACATTGTGGCCGTTAAGTCAGCTTGTACCAAGCTGGAAATGCTTCGTGTAACTTTCCAAGGCTGACTCACACTAACTTTTGCAGATACCACCTATTCTGAAATTGCAACAACCAAATTAATAAGTCTATACTATTTTTATGATTTGCACCTTTTACCTATCAGTCTTCATTTAGCATAAATCTAATTTCAAGTCTCTACAGCCAACGTTGGCATTGTCCCCTTACAACCACCACATAAGAGATCACCAACTGTGTGACCCTCGCTTACACGTTATGGACCTGGAGTGTTGGTTTGGGGTTTTGGGGGGTATTTTGTTGTGGTTTGTTTTTTTTTTTAAACAACCAAAACTCAACTGCTTATGGTACTTTTATCTTTCAGCATAGTAAATGAGCAACTTAAATTAAGAACTAGCCTCTTTCCATACTTGTTAGAAGAACATATACTGTGTGTATTTATATATATAAACAAATATACTGTGTGTATATATCCAGAGATATTCACCATATTGTTGACACCAGAGTGCTAAAACATACATCAATATGAGCACTATTTCCAATACTCACTATTATTACTTTTCCTGAAAGAGTTACTACATGCATTTTCCCCATCCATTTATGGGACAGTAAGATATAATGAAGATAACTGTTCTGTTTTTCCAATGTTAAAGAGCTGCTCCTAAAAAGCATGCACAGGTTTGGGTATAAAGCAATTAAAACCACACAAAAGTTATTTTGTGGCTTTAAACTCACTAAAGCTAAATTGACTTTACTTTCTGTGGATGTAGCATTTACTTTAACTCATTTATTTAAACACAAAAGGGAAAACTTCCAAGTGCTAGAACAACCATATAGACAACTGATAGACTAGACTAAATAAGCTCTCATTAAAAAAACATCATCACTGCATAGCCACAAGGCAGACTTTCATTTTTGGCAACCTGTACGCAGACCATTTATACTGTCAATTATACTTTAAGACTTGTTATTTAACAGTTAAGAGACCCTTTTAGCAAGGAACTATATTGCTTTCCTCATTATGACACAGTACTCCTCAATCTTTAAGTATACACAGAGTTTGTTTTGAAAATTACATTTATGACTGTTTTAAAAGAAAATCTTCATAAAGTTCTAATTTTTTAGTCAGTATATGTAAAGGCTGGCATGTCAGGTAACAGAGATTATATGGACCTGTAAAGGGTATATTATATTCAGTACAAGCACATATTTGAGGTTAGAGTTACTTAAACACTCACATAGAACCTTACTAAGGGTAACAGTATTCTGATTCATATTCATGGTTCACTGATAGCCTTTACTGGTCCCTGCATTGTTCTCTATTTTAGCAACAAGAAAACAAAACACATCCCTGTGAAGTATGGGAACCCCATTTTATGGCTAAGAATCTAAGAAACAAGACAAGGAGGAGGAGATCACGGAGCAAAAAATGTTACTTTACATCCCCCCCCAGTTAGCCTTGTAGGATCTTAGCCATAATGCTTCATAAAAATCTGAATTGACCCACACACTCTTCAGCCGATCAATCTTTTCAGTATAGTAGGTTTTGAAAAGGGCCAGCAATACTCATTGGGAACAGTACCGTTAACATTGCATTCAAAAAAAGAAAACATCGGAAACCAGATCCTTGCTCTCCTACTCTGTTGATACGCTCTAGTATTAGCCAATGTATGGTAATACAAAAAGAGTCTTGTAGTGATGTAAAAAGCAATGAAGACGTCTATAGAATAATGTTCATGTGCAGCCAAAATGAAGAAGATTCCAAAGAGATTCAGGACCCAGGATAAGGTATGCAAGAAGTTCCAGCTCCTTGGCGTATCTAGGAGAAAACAGAAAGTGACTAACCTTCAAAAATCTGGGTCATTACGAAATCCAGGCCTAGACATTGCAAGTTTTTACACAGATTTTTCATCCAAAAATGTGACGAAGTTACTGTCTTCGCCTGGAAATTTTGTTTACATCTTCATGGGATTTATTGGACATGTAAACAACCAGGGAAGTTATAAATGTCTATCACTTCATGACTTCACTTACAAATACAGGTATTATGCATTTCTGGATTAACAGAGCGTCCTAAAATAGTTTAGGAACATGCAAAGCAGAATTCTTTGTTCAACTAACAACTTCTAGTGAAAATCATACCTTTTCCATGTAATAAGGGGAAAAATGTCATAAAGCATACATTATTCTGTTTTTGCAGTTATTCCATCATAGGTGAACTCAAACTAATTACCTTAGCTTGCTATATAATGTATCAAATCGCACTTTTATTCACAGAAGAGCACTATTGTTTCATATATTCTCACTCATAGAATAGAATAGAATCATTAAGGTTGGAAAAGACCTCTAAGATCATCGGGTCCAACTGTCGACCCAACACCACCACCCACTAAACCATGTCCTTAAGCGCCTCATCTACACGTCTTTTAAATACTTCCAGGGATGGGGACTCAACCACCTCCCTGGGCAGCCTGTTCCAATGTTTAACCACTCTTTCAGTAAAGAAGTTTTTCCTCAAATAATCACTCATTATGAGGTTTGGTATTTCGGCTTTATGGATCATACTACACGTACACCCACCTAGCCTGGTATTTTGCCTAACAGGGGTCACTGGCAGATTACCTAGGGAAGTGTACAGGAACGGACAATCATAAATATCTCCCCTAGTATTCTCCCAGTAGCAAGCTAAAAGCCTTTCTAATTTTCTCGGCTCACATGTTCTTCCAAGTGTGCCCTATTCATCCTTCCATTAATCTAGGTGGTGCTGCTCCTTTCCCGTCTGCAAGTGAACTGTCACAAATCTGAGAAAGAGCACAGCAATCTGAATTTATATTTGTTTGCCTTAATGTTACACTCTGAACTTCGAGAAGGTCGAGCAGCAGATATTCTTAAGGAGAGTTAGTATTTACACTCTCGCACCCTTGGTTGACAGCAAGCAGTACATATTCTTAACACTTAAGGACATTTAAGTATTGACACTCCGTACTTACATTCTGTGACAAAGAAGTTGAGCATGGTCAGGACGACAGTGTGGCCACTGAACATATAATCTCCACACGTATGTACTCCAGTCAGAGTCATTCCAAAGCCACTCCATATTGCAAATGCCCGCTGAAGTTTTGCCCAAACATTGCCATACAACTAGACGACAGTGACATTAACCTTTAGTAAGTTGCAACCCCGCCGCCCGAACAGTATGTCCTTAAAGTTAGCTGTATAGCACTATGTGTGTTTAACACCATTTATCATGTCGGGTCTTTTATTAAAATGCAGGTTAGCACATCTTTGGATTTCTTGTGGCAGTGAGTCACATTAGTAACTACAATTATTAATTGTATTCATCATACCTCTGATGAATACTGGAATTTAGAGCAAGTATTTTGTCGCAAGTGATTTACGTACAGAGACTGCCACGTTTTTTTGAATGTATTCAACCTCCCAATGTGTCCTTGTCAAGATTCCGATATATTCAGCTCAAACCTCTTCTAACTAAAAGTTAGGATAAAACCGTGAAATCCCACGTTCCATAGAATATCCCTTATTAGAAGGGGTGAAATAATAATAGTTTGTTGGGTTTTTTTAAACCATGCATCCAACAAGACAAAGAAGTGATTACTCTACTTTCAGCCTTTCTTCACGAAGTCAACACCTTAAGCACACACTTCTCTGACGTATTCTGTCAGGTTTACACTGTGAAATATTCTGAACACCCTTCCCCAAGTAACTATCTCCTCTCCAAAGTGGCAAGCGCTTCTAAGACCCCTAGTTCTTACAAACACACATCTAACATTATGGTCACAACAATCTTAATCATATCTTAAATAAATTTTTTAAAAAAAGGAAATAAGAAAAATAATTTAAAGCATTTTAAGTTTTTACCTTTCCAGTACACTGCAAGTGCTGGCCTGGCACAGAGAGTGAGGTAACAAACATTGTAATGCAACGTAGTAAGAATACTGTCCCCATGAGGCTGCACAGCCTTCGCAGAAGTATAGATCTGGGAAAAGTACATAGGAACCGATTGCAAGAGTCCTAATATACTGTATTTTTAAATCAGGAAAGTTATGATAAAAGCATTTCCCCCCACCCCAACTTAATCCATGAAGTCCCTTCATCATTGCTGCACGTTTCACAGTAAAAAAAAATATTTTTATTTTTTAAGTAGTACTGTAAACGTATGGTTCCACATGACAGGGCAAGACACTGTAGCAAGCTTACTGTCACCAAAAGGTACAGCCCCACTCCTCTGCAGCTACACTTGTACCAGCTTTAGCACTCATGCCTTCTGTTGGCAAACCGATAAAAATCAACAAACTGGTAGAAATTTAACTTAAAATACTCACGCACACAAAAGGGTTTTCTGCCCTTCAGTGACAGCAAGCTACTAGGCTGGCCCAGTCATCCCGTGGAATTTCATTCTCGTAGGATTTTATTATTTATACACAAAACTGTGACAGTATGAGAGTATATACTGACAACTCTCAAATACATATGTTCTGAAGGAAATTACACGTGAATCTGGTAGAAAAGTAAATTCAGATTACTCCTTTGTAATGTTCACAAGTCACCATTCTTGATTAAATCCTCCCTAATCCATTTTAACAGGGACATATTAGAGGCTTACAAGTTTCTTATTAAATGGAAAGCCTTAAACAATCATCATAAATTCTTGTTACAGTCCTTTCTCTGAATCAAAGTACCAGTTAATTTTAATTTTATATACTGTACCTGTGTTTGTGAAGCAGAAGAACCAACAGCCAAATGTAGCAAAGAATTACGCCACATACTTCAGTCATAGCAAAAGCCCATGGTATCCTAGGGACGCTAAAAAAAAAAAGGCAAAAAAAGGATGAAGGAAGAAAGTTTACTTACAATACAAGGACTTAATTTTTCTTTCTAGCCTCAGTATTTAGAATAAAGGCATATAAAGTTCTAACTACAAAACTAACTTGCATTAATCTGACAACAGTTTAAACTACAACCAAAAATGATTTTGTTAGGCTGAATTAAATAGAATTTGAATTAATTTTTAATTACATTATCTCCTTTCTAATAATGTATTTTCAGCAGACATTTACACAGAATTCACTAAGTCAAAGAAAATCTCTAATATGCTCTCTTAATTTACACGTGTGATTTACTAACAGGATGTGTTCCCCTACCATTGTTTCCCAACAACCTTCTTCATTCTGACACAAACTTGCATCATGTCAATTATGCTGCTTATGCCTAATAAGAATGCCATGTCAACACAATTAATGGAGTGCTGCAAAGCATAAAATCCTAAATACTTACAATGAAGCAGAACTGCACAGAAAAGCGTTAGGAAAAATAAAAAACGTTTTCAAAGTTAGATTTCAATGATAATCACTATATGCAAACCTTTTAGCCTTGCTTGTCAAAAAATTTAAGACTCTCTTGCACACACACGGCACCAGTAACAATTTCCACTCTGCAATTTCACCAAAATACAAATTGACAGATTTCAAGAGAGGCTGCTCCTCATAGTTTTGGGTTCCCCTCGATACAAAGGGGTAGCAAAGCGCTGCTCAAATGCTAGCTGTGTAGTAATCCCCTCGCATTGTTTTGTGAGCTGCTGCTTTCTGACCTCCCCCATCCTCCTGCCCACTAACTACCGTGGTAGTGCCCTGGGAACAAAATCCAGCAATGCCATAGCTCCCGTTCTCTCTCCTCTCTTCCACTTTGCTGGACGCGGTCCGTCCTTGCTGAGTTTTATCTAAATTTATGGGGAGATTCTGCACACTTACGCAAAAGATTAGACCCCTACTGACTTCACAAAAACCATTAATGAAAATGGAAATTACTGGCAGGAATAAGGAGACCACAAAGACTGAAATCTTTAACAGTTTATCTTGTTTTTTTAAAACTCTCTAGGCAGTAAGTTTTCTATGGTGCAAGTACACTTGCTCAAAGGGAGCATCTATCCCCTGTTAAATATGTGGTCAATGACTAGAATTTCACCTTTGCTATTGTGTCTCTTTTCTACCTGAAGAGATATTTTAATGAAATATTTTCTTTAAAAAATGAGCAGGTACTGTGTAAGTCACGACAGTGTTTTAGTACACAGATACTCTATGGTTAAAAGAGATGCTGGTCTAATTCAGTCTGCTTCAGAGTTTCCCTCTTCAGTTTCCATCTTCAACAAGTTGACAGCGGGGAGACAGCATAAATACAGTATCAATGCTATTCCCTTTCAATTTCCTTGCTCGCTGGCAGACCAAAATATCCCTTCATCAAAATTCTTTCTATAGCAAGACATGTTAAGCTTCATAGCAGCATCTGGATTTCAGAAAAAGCATATGGCTGCTTATCTATGCCAGCTGACCATCACTCTTTTTACTAGAATGAGAGGATGGACAAATTAATTCCTGTGCTGTGATTAGCTAAAAATGTAGAGCTAAATATAAACTGGGCAGAACAGCGGCTCAGTTTCTTTTCCCCTGAGAAGGCTAAATCTCTGCATCTAACTGATGCGCATTTCAATTTTAGCAGAAGGGTTTACTACACTCTAATTACTATTTTGCAGAGGCATCTTCAAGAACATACGAAACTTTGAGAATGAAGAAAAGACAGCCTATACTTTAACCATCAAGTTACTGTTTTGTTTTAAAAGAAAATTTCTTACCTATCTAGAAATATGTCCGGTAGAGGTGGATATGTTTGCATGTCAGGTACTCGCTCATGTACTATAACCATAACAAATGATGTAAAGCCAAACACTATGAAGACATAAACACAACTTAAAACAGTCTTCCAGTACTCCGGGTCCAGTCTTCGGGTAGCGTGTTTGTTTTTTCCGTTTGCATATTGACACTGATCACCATTCAAGTCAGTAATTGCTCCATCATAGTCCCGAGGTACTTCACCATTACAAAACCAATCTGTACCCTGTAGTGAAGCAACACTTGGGCACGCTGTGCCAACATGACTATCGCTGTTGTAACCCAGCTCTTCCAGGACATCGATATGTTGCTTCTGTAGTTTACGTATGGACAACATTAGCCTTTTGATGTCCCCCAGGACTTTGATTTCCAAAGGAGGGGATCGTAAGTCATACTCAGTAAGTGTCAGCAGTGTAATTCCATCTAGCCTGTGTCTATTGCACAAAACATCCACATATTCACAGAAGCCTTCTTCCTTCAGCCACTTGGCCACGTTCTTGGTAGTCCAACGTCGAATGCAAAGCTGGTTATTGCCTGCCATCATCCTTCTCTATCCGCCAATAAAATTGACCTGTTACATATTGGAGAAAGAGACAAGACCTGAACGTTTAACGAAGATTACTGAAATGCCAGTGTATTTCGTGCGATTTAGCCATAGGCTTTTTATATAAGAGCCAGCTAAAAACCAGACATATAATTTATTAGGTAAGTAATATAAAAATGCCTTTTAAAACATTTTTTATTCAAGCAAAACTAAATCAAGATTATCTCACTTGTTCCTAAATAGAAATTTAAAGCTACCAAGAAGCAGAATGTTTCCTAGATGCACCCAGTCTACTTTTATTCTTTTGTTAAAAAAATAAATCCGAGTTTGTTAATTATGCTAGGCAATAAAAAACAAAGATTAGTCTGTTTAAATACCAGCTTAATCATTCTCTTTTCCACTGTTTGCAGTTCATAAACTAAGCAAGAAAGTATAGCCAGCAACCATGTAAAACTGAATTAAAGCTAAGATAATACATTACAGGTCCAATACATTCCACTGTTTTACAATATATACTGAAGCTTTGGTGGTATGACATTTCCCCCCCACTCCTCCCAAGTAAACCTAAGACTAGGTACCTACAATAATATTGACCTGAGGCATCTTAGTTCTATGTTGATGGTGCAGCCATCATATTTCTATCTTTGTTTGATCTCAGTAATTTAGATGCTTATTATATTGCGAATCCTTTAAAATATTCAGCTTTCAAAATAACATTACTAGAAACTAAGCATTAGCTTTAATTCCAAAGCATCTTCAAAAGTGATGTGGTAATAGGTAACACAGTAACACACCAAAACCAGAAAACATGTATTCTCTTCATACAGATTTCTCAATAATTGTCTTCTTGACTCAAGAATGTTGTTTGAAGAAAGGCAAGACATCTCAGCAACATTTCAGTCACATGGAGGTGACAAGTCACCGAACAACTTAGAACAACCAGAAAAAAATTAACCCCAGAAAGTTACGTGGAATACATGAAAAAACTTCGAAAGGCTACTAGTAATGTAGAAGTAATATAAAGCTTATTCAATATTTAAGACCCACAGCAGTACAGAATGGATTTGTGCGTAGTTTATATTTGGTGGCTTATGTACAGCTACCACCTAAGAAACAGTTACAATTTCACAGCTCTTTTGTACTCAAAAAAACCAGTCTAATTAACTAGAATGCTTCAATCATGCCAACCAAATCTCAGAAAATACAAGGTAGTACAATACGCTAGTGCCACATACGTCATTCAAGGTTTTCAGAATGAAAGCAAGGAAACAGCCTATTTAATCTATTATTTAGCTTCTGTATATAGTAAACAGGTACACAAACCCATCATGAATATTCAACACAGTTTTACACCGTTTTCAGGGGCACAGCTCTTGCACAAACAGAAGCTCTTTCCTTCTCACTTCTCTTTTTAAAGAGGTACTGTACCTATTGTTACAAGTATTATATATAATTATTGGAAGCAACTTTTTCTTCCAGATTACATCTAACAGGACCACACATTATTTTATTCTATATCAGTGAAGATTCAATTTGTCCAACGAGATTTCCCAGCAGTGCAAAAGAAATAGTTCAGAAGAAAAATGAGCACACAAATCAAAGTTGCCCTTCTAAAAGAATTAAGGGAGTGGTACTTCTGAAGATATTCTCTCTGGAATTGATTGTATATTAACAACGTACTTAATACATAGTTTTAACTTCTCAAAACTCCATATACAGTCAATATGTATATAAGCTTTAATACCTTGATTTAAATAGTTGCCAAAACATCCATAAAACACTAGAATCTCTGCATTTACTATACTCTTCCTTCTCCATATAAAAGGGTATTTGCTCATTTCTATGTTATTTTACTATTTTTTTAAAGTCTTGCTCAAAACAACTGTAACAACTACTTCACTCACACAGCTATTAACAAAAGAAATTATGACATTTAATTTGTAATTAATGACCACTTAATTGACCTTTTTTGTACTACATATTTTTATCTTATTCCAGCAAAAAACAAACAAACAAACTTGAGTTGCTTATCTGGACTTCCAGCTTTCCTTACTCAGAAATACAGATGAAATACTGAAGAAAATTGTTAATCACAGTGTTTTTTATAACATTGTAATCATCACAAGTGTTCTAAAAGCAGTGAATTCAGACTCACCAAAAATACACTCAACTTACTGTTTTGTCTTTTAACCAAAGCAACTCCTGAGGGCAAAGGCAGGAAACTCTCCCCCACCTAGGAGAACTCTGTTCATTTGTCACAAGTCAAGTAGCCTAACACCAGCCTGGTGTTTCTTCATCTGGCATCGCAGGAATAAAAATCAACCCTTACATTACGTGCAATAAAAGTGACCTTACAACACTGAGTAAGCATATCCATCAAAGGTCACCACTGAATGGGCTGGACCTGGGAGAAAGTCTACATTAACCTTAAGATGCACCTGATCGGACTTGCTCTTGTTTTTAAATGCTGTCAAAGACGTTTAACCAACTGGAAGAGAAAGAAATCAACAAAAGAAACAAGCACTTACACAAAACACAAACTTAAACCATTCCACACAGCTGCTAGCCAATTTCATTGCAACAGCAACAGTTAAGTTCAGTTTTGACGACAAGGCAGTTTCTTTAAACTCAGAAGCTGCCTTCTCCTTCAGACTACTCATTTAGTGCCACCTTTGTAGTTTAAAGGGTAAAAAGCACCTTCCCTAATAATATTAGCACCTAGAATACAATACAGATCTCTGTGCCCAACTGCTCCTGTTCAATTTTGAAGCTTAAGAATGCTACATAACATTTCCAACACTACCAGTCTGCAACGCAAGACTGACTAGTGTAGCAGAAGAGACCAAGTCACCTCGATAACTGTACGTGTCTTCTGAAAGAAAACAGCACGGGTAGAAAGAAGGCACTTTGCCTTCTACCTTACTGGTTTTATTGCTGAAACCAAATAATGGATAACATTATTTAATAATGAATAACACGCATGAGTAACACAGAGCGAGCACAGACTTAAGCGTCAGAGGGCAAAATATACTTTTCGCCTGACATCAGCAATGTCCGTAGCTAGCTACTTCATTACCTTCCTGCTACTGTGACTTTATATTTAGTCAGCTCATCAGCAGTACGGATCATGTGTCCTGTTTCCCTTTTTCCTTCCCCAGCCTTTCAATTAACAGCATGAACACAACTGAGCAAGAACTTCATGCGCATGTGTGTAAGTATTTTTTTTTTTTAAAAGAAAAATGTTACTTCATAAGCCACGAACATTTCTACAATTTGGTTAGGGCATTTTGAAAAATGAGTTGCCTCTGAGAGGCTGAGTATACCCTTAGCACAATATTTTTCCTAAAGGTATATTTAAATACGGAAAATTAATCTCTCTCAAAATAATTATCCACAATTCTATCATGCTTTCCTCTACTGAATTACTGCTAGTCAACCATTAAGTCCCCAAATTTCCTAGCATGCAGACTTTGAGTTAGCATATTGAGGTAAAAATGTGGAAAGTTGAGTATGATTATCACTACTCCAGCCAAAGAAAAGGCGCATTAGTATCACACTAACATTAGGCTGCAATCTTGTCACAGAAACAAAACTCGATTACACCAGAATCATAGCTGAAGGGTTAAAGAAGATCCTAGTTATGTCCGCAGCAGTTAGGAGAATGCTGACTGGATTTGTTTATTCCAGACACGCATGCAAAACTCTACCAGCACCATTACTGCTTCACCGCCTGCCCTCATGTGCCTGGGAGAGCCTGTGGCTCTCCTTGCTGACGTGCCTCTTGATTTTTTCCCCAGCTAGGTTCAATTCTCACCATCCTTGAGAGAAATTTTAAGACGGACACTGAAGAACTATCAGATCTCGAGTGATTTAACTTACATTTCTTTGTGGGAGGTTTCAAGCTGAAGTTTGAATATAAGCAATTCCAACTCAGCCCCTCCTTTGCTGGGTCCGCCGGCCTAGGAGCACGACGTCTCACACCTCGGGGGAAGAGTTTTTCTGTACAAAGGCCGCCGGTTCACAACGTGGACAAGACGCAGGTTTGAGGCTTTGGCTCCCCAGCACAAAAAAGCCGTACACAAAAACGTGCGCTGAGCCAGCCTGCAATAATAAGGCTACTGCCACATACCAACTTAGTAATGCTGTGCCAGAAAAAAAGCATACAGCACTGCCTTGTTATACATCAAAAGTCTCGGATACTCTGCTGACGTGCATCAGAAGCTTGTCACTTGCTCTTCCTGAAAACTCTAAATTCTTCAGAGGTTATTTAAAGCAAATAACACCAAAGGTTTCATTGCCGTATAGTACATAGTGACTTAATCCTTACCTTCGAAATGCCACCATATATAATACAATATCTTGTAAACAAAAGGAGAAAAAGAATACTTGCAAAAACAATACATGATTTTTCAAGGGTTTTTTTTTATATATAGCATGGTAGCTATTGTATTAAACTAATCAAACACAGCAAAATGCCCACCGTGAGACCAAAAAATTGGATAAATATTTTCCTGAAGCAAGCATACAATAACTTCAACTGCAGAAATATTCCTGTAGAACTTGCATTCAGTTTTTTCTTAGTGACTTTGCTATCAGAGTTGTTTCATAAACGTTTCTAGTAAGTGAGATTATCAGCAGTATTTTAACCGTACACAAAGGTCTTAGTGCTATTTATGAAGGTAAGATAAGAAATCTCATAAAGTAACATTTGTTTAGTTTATTGTATGTCTTAGGTTTTAAACCACCAAGGAAGATGTGCTTTTCAAGAATTATTCATTGAAGTGCTGCCTTGTGGAAAATGCAGAACCGATACTGTAAAATCAAAGATTAGCTCCACACGCTTAGAAGAGTCTTGCTGTTGGAACGCCTCCATGCAAAACTGACAGCAGCTACTACAGAAAGTCCTGAAAGCTAAACGTATTTGTCTTAAGAACCACTAAGTGCAGTTACATATTGCAGCAAGCTGAACAGAATACATACTGCTCCCTGACTTTTACACCTCATTAAACCAAATGGATTGTACTATACTCAAGTGAACGCTAAGAGTGGCTCAACTCCTAATCTACTTACCAGCTAACAAAACATTTTTTTATCCTACCACCATAATTCAAGGCACACACAAGTGATTTTTAAACAACCGATCAAGTACTCCACTACTTCTCTTAGGATGTAATTCACAGTATTTCATTAATATTTGTACAAGACCTTCAACATTTCACATGCTAAATGTCAAGTGTCAAGTATTTTTTCCTCCAACTTCAAGAAATAGTATATCCATCTTGTAACAGAACGTTCGCTGCTCTTTATCCTTATACAACTTAGCAGTAAAACAATTCAGGTTTGCTTTTCCCCTTTTATTTCTTTCTTTTCTTCCCACACCCTCATCTTAGGATGGAAATAGGGGAAGACACGAACAAACTCTCCATCCAAATTAATACCAGAACAATATCTGAAGTGAAACTGTGTTTGTTCTTACTCTCCACAGTCACTTACAGCCTGATCTTTCTAGCCTAGTGAAAATCTAGGAGCCTTCCTCATTTTAGATGCATTAAAATAAATAAGAAATAAAAAACTTCAAGAAGTTATGTGATTATGAAATAAACATTTATAATGTAATATGGTTTATGGACCTCAACCAGCTTAGCGGGCTGCAAGACTGAGCTCTGTACAAAGTGATAGTATAGAGCCTGAAAGATTGCAACTCCTAGGCCAACCTGTGTTTTTAAATGTATACTACCAAAAAAGACCCCAACCAGCCAGCAAAAAGAAGATCACATACAATAGCAAATGAGATCATTTAAAATTCTTGCTCTTTACAAAACTACAGAATGTTTCCTTCACATCTAAGTAGCA